ACTGCACTCCAGCCCGGGCGACAGAGGGAGACTCCGTCTCAAAAAAAAAAAAAAAAAAAGAACAAATTAACATTTTTCTCACACAGTTACCCAATTTTGCCCCCTGTGGCAAGAGCAACATAATCTACTCATTTAGCAAAAAATCCTGAATATAATACACTATTATTAATTATAGTCCTCATGTTGTACAGACTTTTTGACTTGTTCATTCCACATATTTGCTACTTTGTATCCTTTTACCTACTTCTCCCATTTCTTCTCCCCTTTCTTCTCCCCACCCCTGACTTGGTAAACAATGTCTTATCTCTATATATTTAACTCTTTTCGTAAATTTTTAATATTCCACATGTAAATGAGATCATGCATACATATGTCCATAAGAATGTGGGGAAAAAAAAGTGAGATCATGCAATACTTTTCTTTCTGTGTCTGGCTTATTTCACTTAGCATAATGTCCTTCAAGTCCATCCATGCTGTGGCAAATGGCAGGATCTCCTCCTTTTTTTAAGTCTGAATAATATTCCATTATGTTCATACCACAAAAACCCAATCTTGACTAAAGGAGAATTTAAGTGTGTTTTTAAAGACTTTTGAGGATATCAAATTGCTTTGTATTTTACTCAAATATTCTACATAAGGGCTAAGATTTTTCTGTAGGTTTATACTGGTTTTCCTCAGAAATCTAATTTTTCTCTCTCTCAGGTAACAATTATGTTGATTTTTTCTCCCAATTAAGACATCATTTTCTACATACCTGTTGCAGACTGGGAGTTGACATCAGCATCATGAAGAAGTAATAATTTCACAATATCTAAGTAACCTCCACTGGAAGCTGCCATCAGGGGAGTTATGTCTCCTTTATTCCCTCGATCTTCAACATTAGCATGCATAGCAAGCAATACCTTTAAAACACATATACACACAGAGAAATTGTTAATTCTTACTATTCAATAGTATTTCTAGAGAATATACTGAATCTCTGAAGATATTCTTCTAGAATAGGGGTGAGGAAAAATCCATATGACCTTTTGAAAAAATTATGCCAATTTTCACTGCTCAACATGCCAGGTTACATGCTGTATTTTACAATATCATTACATATTAATATTTAAATAAAGTACACAATCATATTAGCCATCCTATTATAAAATGTGATGGTTCTTGTCAAAGAATGTTATGCTTGAGGTTATCTAGCTAAAGAACACTATACTCAACTATACTCACAAGACAGAAACTGGTAAAAACATGGTTAATTCCCAGTACTGTTCTAACATAGAAGGAAAAAAAATTAAAAGAATTGGGGTAACCTGAATGTGATGAAAATAATGACTACTTTCCATTACAGTTGTATATTATTTCAAAGGACAAATTTAAAATTATTATTATATCTATTTGTTTCTTAATCATTAGGATTAGCTTTGAGTAAGTGGCAGAAAAACGGACCATTCTCAGTTGCATGTACAGGCAACAAAATAAACTGTGTATCTGTTTCTACTTTACCTAATACCAAAAAGGGAAGGGGGATGGAGGAAGAGAAGACTCTGGCCTCTAATTATAATCTATCTTATAAGTGACAAAAATAAATAAAACATCAAAACCCCTCCACAATTTTAATCACTAAATATTATTTCTGCTTACTTGTGCTAATTCATAATACCCTGCTGAACAAGCCAAACACAGCAGGCTTTCTCCTTCTTCTGTATGTTCATTTACACTTCTGCCTTCATCTAGCAATTTACGAACAGCATTAACATCCCCATCTGAACAAGCTTCTGCTAGACTGCGACTGGAAACAAAACCATTCAACAATTAACTGAAACAAAAAGACTCAGGGGTCCTATGATAAATTATATTAAATATAAATAATCACACAAAGAAAAATGTTAATACAGTAAGAGAAAAAAATTATATGAACATATTACTTGCTGAGCATCTTGTTTGGAACTTCCATTATTCATGTTTATCAACCAAGCCAGAAAGCCAGTGAGTGAATTTGAAATCAGCTGTCATTTTTATCTTTTAAAATCTCCTAACATATTATAACAAATTTTAAATAAAGTTTTTTAAAGCATTAGACCAAGCATGTCCAACCCATGGCCCAGGACAGCTTTGAAAGAAACCCAACACAAATTTGTAAACTTTCTTTAAACATTATGAAATTTTTTTGCAATTTTTTTTTTCTTTTCGCTCATCAACTATCATTAGTGTTTGTATTTTGTTTTGTTTTGTTTTTGAGACAGAGTCTCACTCTGTTGACCAGGCTAGAATGCAGTGGCACAATCTTGGCTCACTGCAACCTCCACCTCCCAGGTTCAAGTGATTCTTGTGTCTTAGCCTCTCAAGTAGCTGGGATTACAGATGTGTGCCACCATACCTGGCTAATTTTTGTATTTTTAGGAGAGATGAGTTTTCACCATGTTGTCCAGGCTGGTTTTGAACTCCTGGCTTCAAGTGATCCACCCACCTTAGCCTCCCAAAGTGCCTGGTTACAGACATGAGCCACCAAGCCCAGCCTCTAGTAGTTGTATTTTATGTGTGGCCCAAGACAATTCTTCTTCTTCCAATGTAGCCCAGGGAACCCAAAATTTGGACACCCCTGTATTAGATGCACAAGTTTTTAAACTCTACTTATATAACGATTCCCAAAGATATTTTGGGATATAATCCTATGGCTGAAATTTTTACTTAGTAACAGTGAAGGCGAAAACCTAAGAAAACTATTTTACCACAGAATGACTAACTAGACCACTGAGTCTCAAACTTTAATGTGTACGAGTTACTCCTATTTCTTGTTAAAATGCAGATTCTGATTCAGTAGACATGGAGTAGGGTCTGGGATTCTGCATTTCTCACAAGCTCTGAGGTGATGCTGATACTGCTAGCCCATGGACCATATTTGAGTAGCAAGCAACTAGACTACTGCATTAGTAACTCGTTTCATGTATTAGTACTCAAGCAATCAGTTTAGAGTTTACTATAATAACTTTTAGAATAAGTAACTTCCTTATAACTGGAAAACAGATCTTATTCAGTTTGGATTTCTCATAGATTCTAGTGTAATACATTCCACAAGAATGCTCAATGAATAAGAGCTGAATGAAGAAACAAAAATATCCATTTTTATAGCTACATAATACATATACATTTATATATCCACTTAAAATGTAATATCCATCCAGCTAAATAAAGTTTATAAGTTCCACCAAAAGATATATTCAACCAAAATTCGCTACTTTCCCAAAATCTACTCAAGAAAATGTCTAATTCCCAAAAGTCATTAAACACATACGTGTCCACTTGTCCTGCATTGTGGCTGTTTTCTGCTTTCATCCGTGTCAGTGCAGCAGCAGCTTCATCCAGTGCACAACTAACTGAGGATGTCAGTCTCCGGAGTACTTCAGGATCTGCAAAAGCTTTACCATCAGCAGTTGACAATTTTCCAATTCCTTCAGTGTGCATCAATCAATCAGGTAGTGCAGGGAAAAAAAAAAAAGTATAAAAGTGCAAATTGTAATTACATTTCTAAACACTATTATCTAGGAAAAAGAAATGGTATAGAATCCATAGGTTAGGGTGACAGAAGATAAGGTTCATCATTTCAATTCTGCCACTAATGTCAAAAGGCCATGGCATAACCACCTATGTTTTAGTCTTTCTACCTTTACAATGCACATATTAATTTGTCCTCTACCTAATCCATATGTAACTTCACATGATGCTAACTGTATCAAATAAATGAGATTTCTCTCAAAATACATAGTCACACCATAAGATCTCTAGTATAGAATATCTGATTGTACTATTTTCAGCAGTATCTTCAGAGGGGGGATAGTCTCTAATATTATAACAAACAATTCAATTGTTTCTTCCTTTGGTCACAACCATCTTCCGGGGCCACATTTTAAATTAAATTCATTCTTACAAATAAAATTAAAATTAAAAAATTATATACACAACACTCAATGAATTTATATCATCATTTATAAAGAGCTACCACACAATTTACTAATAATATAAAATGAATGCAAACCAAAATGGTGAGGTATTTTTCATTTATGAAACTGACAAAACAATGTCTGAGGTGTGAGGCCCTCTCAAAAACTGTTGATTTTTGAGTGAATAAAGAAATAAATACAGGCACAAACCTGAGGGACTAATTTAATAATGGTTGTCAAATTTTTATTTTACTTATTTATTTTTTGAGACGGAGTCTTGCTCTGTCACCCAGACTGAAGTGCAGTGACACGATCCCGGCTCACTGCAACCTCCACCTCCTGGGTTCAAGCGATTCTCCTGCCTCGGTCTCTCGAGTAGCTGGGATTACAGGTGTGTGCCCCCACAGCCAGTTAATTTTTGTGTTTTTTAAGTAAAGACGAGGTTTCACCATGTTGGCCAGGCTGGTCTCAAACTCCTGACCTCAAGTGACCCGCCTGCCTCAGCCTCCCAAAGTGCTGGGATTACAGGCATGAGCCATGGCGCCCAGTCAGCTGCCAAAATTTTAAATGCAAATATATTCTTACCCATTGATAACACTTTCTAAAATTCTGTCCTAAAGAGATACTTGCACAAATAAGAAACGTTACCGATATATAAGGCTATAAACTATAGCATTATTTGTGATATTAAAAAACTGGATATAAGCTAAAATTGGTAAAATTAATTATGATTCATCCAAGCAACAGAATATTATGGTACCCTTCAATAAAAAGAGAAAGATCAATATAAACTGTCATGGAAGGATGCCCACAATAAATCATATGGGGAAAAAAAGTTGTATTTTGTGTATTATGATCCTACTTCGTTTTTAACAATCATATATATTCAAACATATACATGTATTTACATCACCACAAGGAGAAAAGTCTAGAAGTATATGTAAACCTTGACAGAAAATGGGAAGGTTTTTTTATCTACTTAATATATTTCATGTCACTTTAGCTGTTTTATAATGTGTATTACACATAAAAAAATTAGCTATTTAAAATCAAGTTAAACATAAAGCGAATACACAAGTAATCAATATGCAGCTCCCTAAATCAGTACAGATAAAGAAGTCATAAATGATTAACTAAATTTATCTCCCACATTTTTATTTTATAATGGCTAACAGGTAAGTTTTCTTTGATAACTAGCCGATTTTTTTTTTTTCTTTTTTTTTTTCCAAACAGAGTCTCGCTCTGTTGCCCAGGATGGAGTGCAATGGAGTGATCTCAGCTCACTGCAACCTCCACCTCCAGGGTTCAAGCAATTCTCCTGCTTCAGTCGCCCGAGTAGCTGGGACTACAGGCGCACACCAACACACTCGGCTAATTTTTTTCTATTTTAGTAGAGACAGGGTTTCACCACGTTCCCCAGGTTGGTCTCAAACTCCTGAGGCTCAGGCAATCCGCCTGCTTCGGCCTCCCAAAGTGCTGGGATTACAGGCATGAGCCACTGCGCCAGGATGCTGATTATCTTAATACCTTAAAAATATAAGAGTTGAGCCCAGAAATACAAAATGTGAACATTTTCTTCGGGAGATAAAAAGAAAAATAAATTTTAGAGATTTTAAATTTTGTATAATGTCATAGAATTTTGGGGTAATCCCACGTAACTCTGTAAAGAGATCTAGACTTTTAAAGAGATGAAAAAGATAAAACAAAAAATAAAGTACCTGCTGCCTCTAGCAATGCTTCTAGTCGTGCCTGTGTCTCTGGATCCACAGTGCGTAAGTCTGCTCCTTCTGCAGTACTTGATAAGAATATCTCTGATGTTGTTTTAAGCACTGGGTTATCCAGATCTTCTTGGTCCAAAATAAATGATTCAACCTATTAATGAAATAAAGATGCAATATCCATGAAACTGATATCAATATGATTAGAATAACTACAATATAAGGTAATATGACTTCTTAATTAGAACTTAAATATAAGCAGAAAAATTATTATAGAAACAAGGGTGTATGGGAATGGACTTCAAAGGACATTGTGACTATTTACCTTCAGACATGACTACAGGTATAACACACATACACTAAAGTTTCCTCAAGAGCATTGTATCTTCTGTGACTAATACAGAGCATGAAAAGCAATATTAAGGCCAGTCACAGTGGCCCACGCCTGTGATCCTAGCACTTTGGGAGGGCTAGATGGGCAGATCGCTTGAGCTCATGAGTTTGAGACCAGCCTGGGCAACAAGGTGAAACCCCGTATCTATTAAAAAATAACAATAATAATAATACCAAAAAACAGCAGGGGCTGGGCACGGTGTAATGAGGTTGTTTTTAATGACTCACACCTGTAATGAGGTCAAGAGTTTGTGAGACCATCCTGGCCAACATGGTGAAACCTCATCTCTACTAAAAATACAAAAATTAGCCGGGCGTGGTGGGGGATGCCTGTAATCCCAGCTACTCAGGAGGCTGAGGCAGAAGAATTGCTTGAACCCAGGAGAAGATGCAGGTTGCTGTGAGCCGAGATCATGCCATTGCACTCCAGACTGGGCAATAGAGCAAAAACTTCATCTCAAAAAATAAAAATAAAAGCATTTACTTTTTATTGAAACAAGTACACGAACGTAATCCTGAGAAAATCTATATAGACTAGATAGAATATAAACAACAACAACAACAAAAAACAACAACAACAACAAAAACTTGATAGCATAGATAGGTCATTAAGAGAAAAGTTTTCCTCTTTTCTAAATAATTTATTCAATTCTGACTCTGAAATAAGGGAAAACAAAAACTAACCCACTGATACCTGGAGTCCTTTAGACAGGAACACTCCATGAGATTAAAAACTGTACTTTGTTTACAGTGCTATACTTTGGGCCTATGAATACCTGGCACATAGTATGAATTTAATACATATTTGTCGAAATGAATGAATGTATGAGCAAAAATCAACTTACAAAAATAAACATGTAACGCTCCAATTTCAAATAAAATTAATTCAAAATGAATTTTCTTAAATAAAATTAATATACAATCCTTCTGGGAAGCAATTTGGAAATGTGTATCAAATACCTTTAAAAACTCACTAAAAAATTATCTGAAAGCCAGACAAAAATTAATGTGCAAGGATGTTCACTGCAGCATTAACTGAAATTCCAAAAATGAGGAAAAACTATAATATAGAATTTGATAAATACATGTTATACATTTACATGATGGACTACTATGTAGTCATTAAAAACAATGTTTTTGTGACCACTGGTTCAGCTGTGAGAAGAAATAAAAAATTAAAAAAAAAGTTTTTGAAGCATATTTAATGGCATATGAGAGTATTAATAAAATTAAGTAAAATGCACAAGATTCAAAATAGTATGATTCTTATTTTGCTAAATGTATATATGTGTATATATGTAAATATGAACATGAGTACTCATGAATAATATGTAATATGTATATTATTTACATATTATATGTAATGTATATAATATACATATATACATATAACATGTATGGCATATATAATTTTTATAATATATACACTACATATATATTATTATAATATGTAAATATGTATAGCCAGGGAAAGTTAACATATTTGTAGATAGAGAAAAACATCAGGAACAGAAAGATTAAGTACTTCTTCAAAGTCACACAGCTAACAAATAAAAAAAGTAAGGTTTCAAACTCAGGCCACATACCTACAGAGTCCATGCTTTTAACCACTAGGATATCACACATTTATAAACAAAGGATCACAGTATCTGGACTACATTATTTGGCATATCTGGCTAGTTGGTCATCAATTTTCACAATGGACACCAAATAAATATAGCCTAATAAAGACAGTAAAGTTAAAATAATTTAGATTTATTTTATTATCTAATGATGTACTATAATTTTACAAAATGAATCTTTAACTTCAGACCTAAAAACATTGAGCTGTACTGTAACACAGCTTCTTTAACATGTAACTACAGACAAAGATGCCAGATCCAATAGATAAATGCAGGCAACCAGTTGTCAAATGACCTTGAAAGGCAACTGCTCATACAACAGCTTAATGCAAGGCCAAGAAATTAGGAGATATTTGTAGATATACATACCTGCCAGTTGGGAGGACAGGTAAAAACATCATTCCAGTGGAAAAATTATAAAATTATTTAAAATGGTATTCAGATATTAATATTCCAATTTTATAAATATTATATGTCTCCTGTAACATTTTAAAAAGCCAAGTTAAGGATTTCCAGTAGTCTCTCATTCATTTATCCAATATTTACTAAAGGCCCATTTTAGATATATATATCTCTCTCACTATGATAATACAAAAATGTGGTAGAAGAAATAAGAAAGACTCTAACAACTATTACAAAAGGCCTCAAAGAGAAAGAAATGATACAACTATATGCACTAATGAGGGAGAAATCACTTCCAGCCCTAGTAACCTGTGAAGGCTTTGCACAAGAAGCAGCATTTGAATTAGGCTTTGAAGGATGCACAGAATTTCAGTAGGTAGTTAGACATAGGGGTAGAGGTGGGCAGAAGAGGAAGTATATTATCAGATAGAGGCAGAAAATGAAATAAAAAATAGGCTTGGAGGCCGGGTGTGGTGGCTCACACCTGTAATTCCACACTTTGGAAAGCCAAGGCGGACAGATCACTTGAGGCCAGGAGTTTGAGACTAGCCTGGCCAACATGGCGAAACCCTGTCTGTACTAAAAGTACAAAATTAGCTGGGTGTGGTGGCACATGATTGTAATCAGCTATATGGGAGGCTAAGGCACAAGAATCGCTTGAACCCAGGAGGCAGAGGTTGCAGTGAGCTGAGATTGTGGCACTGCACTCGTATTTTTGGGGGGAGGAGGGGGTGGGGCTTGGAGATGAATGGTCCACTAAAAAAATGTAAGGTACGAGCCCAGCAGTGGCTCATGTCTATAAACCCAGCACTTTGGGAAGCCAGGGTGGTGGGATCATTTGAGGCCAGGAGTTTAAGACCAGCTTGGGAACCTAGTGAGACCTTGTCTCTACAAAAAATTTTAAATTAACCTAGCATCGTGGCAGAAAACTGTAGTCCCAGCTACTCATGAGGCTGAGGTGGATCACTTGAGCCCAGAAGTTCAAAGTTACACTGAGCTATGATTGTACCACTGCATTCCCCGTGGATGATAGAGCAAGACAGTCTCTAAAAAAAAAAAAAAAAAGAAATTAATATAAGGTCTTTCTGCATTGCTGGTGGAAACAGTGGTGCAGCCACCGTGGAAACAGTTTGATAGTTCTTCAAAAGTTAAACACAGAATTACCATATGACCCAATAATTCTACTTCTTAGGTATATACCTAGGAGAATTAAAAATATACATGTTCATACAAAAACTCAAACACAAATGTTCATAGTTGCGTTCTTTATAACAGCCAAAAAGTAGAAACAACCCAAATATCCATCAGTAGATGAACAAAATGTGATACATATCCATGCAATTGAATATTACGCAGCCATCAGAAAGAACAAGTACATGATATAGATGAACCTTGAAAACATTATGTTTAGTGAAAGAAAGGAGACACAAAAGGTCCCAGTATATGATCCCCTTTATATAAATGTCCAGCATAGGCAAATCCATAGAGAAAGACAATAATAGGTTGCCTGGGGAGAGGAGAAGGGAAGAATAGGAGCGACCGTAAATGAGTCTGAAGTTTCTTTTTGGATTGATGAAAATTGTTCTGGCATTAGATAGTAGTGATTGCTACACAACCTTGTAAATATACTAAAAATCACTGAAATGTAGACTTTAAAATGCTGTAGCTTATGGCATATGAATTATATCTCAATTTTTAAAAGATATAAGGTACCTAGAATACAACTATGGCATTAGGCTAGAAAGAACAACTGGGAATAGATTTGAGTAGACCATATAAAAGGTGACAGATTGTTCATTGCCTGCCTGATTACCACCATCAGAGAGAGAAAGAACCAGTAGCAATGACTTCTTGGGTGACAATAATGTTAGTATCACATAAATAAGATGGCACATTCCTAAGTGCTTGGGAAGAATCAATTTCAGAAGAAAAACACAAAATGGTGATGTGTCCCTTGCTTCAGAGGCTTATAACTTCTCTGAAAATATAATGCATAAGACAATTTACTGAGTTAATTCTATGTCTTACAGTGGATGTAAACTCAAGTTTCAATTAGGCAATAAGACAGAACATTACACTGGAGATCAAGAGAATTAGGTTCAAGTGCCAGTTCTATCAGGCATTGTGTGTAAATTCAGACATAATACTCAACCTTTCTGACATTCCATTTCTTCCTCAATAAACAAAGATGCTATCTGTCCCACCTACCTTACAGTGCTATTGAAATCCTGAAATGAGGTAATGAAGGTAAAAGCATTTTGAAACAATAAACCACCATACAAATATAATTTTTAGAACATGATTCTGTGTAATTACAATTCTTTTGTCCTGTCCCTCACCACAGTGTCTATTTTCTCTACCTTTTCAAAGTGGAAGAATCATACTGAGAATCTAATATGATGCATTTTATCAGCACCCTAACTTGAACTTCTGAGTGTGGTTTTAGGCATTTTACATCTAAGATCTGACCCATATGATAAAATTTTAAAGAGCCACAATACTTGTGGGAAAAAACCCAGAATGAGTTCTGGTTAATACAAAATCATATAGATAAATGATATGAATACATTTGTGTCAATCAGATTTCCCAAAAAGCACTACTGTTTCCTTTGTCCCACCCTCTTTACAACTTTAAAAATGTCTGTCTCAATATGGAATCAATAAAAGGACAAAATATCCCATTATGCTTATTATTTTGGAAATATCTGAGAGATTACTTTTGGCAGTTCACAAATAT